ACATCCACGACTTACCCGCTTTTTAATATTCAGGCTGCAAATRTATATAATATTTTATCTGGAAGACGGAAAATGTTTATAAAATTTTGTCACCAAGGATTTTAAAAGCTATAGCCGAAAATATTAAGTAACAGCGATACTAATTTATACGATACTATTTTTTTTATAAATATTTTATAATTTATTTAACATATCTTTTGTATTTATTAGCTATTTATATATTGTCACATAATTAATAGGTGTCGTCTTTATGAAACAGACTTTTTTTCCTACYATCAGCATGTTATCTATAGATATGAGTAAGCCTGGATCAAAGAGGTAGTGGGGGGCATGGGTATCGAACAATAGTTGAATTAATATGTTCAATTCACAGGTTTGTAAATAACGCATGATACAAAGTCATATAGAGACAAATAAATGGGTATCTATTATATTATGTATTTATGTATAATTATTAATTATTAATAGAGAAATTAGTAGGTAGGTATCTAAGTGATTATYGACCAAAATAAAATTAAGTGAAAATAGTTAGATTTTTTCATTAATAAAACGAAATGTTACCCTTTACAAGAATATTAACTTTAGACCTAAGTCTATTTACTACTTATATAACAGGTAGATAAGTTAGTACCTAAATTATTATGATGATGTAGAAATCACAAAATTTTAATCAATCAAAATTAAAAAAAAAAATATTGTATAAGTCCGGTATACTGTAGTATGTAATATATCTACGCACAACTAACAATTAAAAAAATCATAATATACTGTTACGTGTACTAACACAGAATTGTGGTAAACGATATAAATTATAAATGCAATACAGCTACTATTTGTGTGAACCAGAATATACGCTTTCGTTTATTTTTAAATTATTATTTCTACATATAATATATAAGTAAGATGAAAATTACAAGTCACGTTTTCATTCGTAAGATCTAATTGTATAGATACACAACTGAGTAAACGAAAAATGCTTCTTCCTGATTACAATCCCCAATTGATTTCGAATACAATAACAATACTCATACTTCCGTTAATTGCAATTTTGATTTTTTTAAATAACCGAAAAACATTTTTTTTATTAAAAT